AAGAAGTTATGACGATGCGACGTTTGCGACGGATTTTTATGTGAAATCACGCTTCTTTTGCAAAAGTTATGAGCGGTATTGTAGTTACTTTTGCATAGCAAAACATGCTTCACGGGCATCATTCCGCTGAAATTCGGCTCTCAGCATTGTAAGAGAAGCTACTTAAAAATCTTCTCTACACGTCACCACTCCCTTGAGCGATGTAGAAGGGTATATTTAGCAAGATTAAAATGTTTGTAATGCTATTTCGCGAAAAAACTTATGTTCTAAGAGTGATTAGCAAAATTAATATTTTGTTTCCACAGAAACTTCAAACACGATAAAGTAACGAACCCTCAATGATCAACACCTAGTTGTTTGTTCATGTGACTGTGATAGAGCAGTGATATCAATTGTATCCAATTTTTAGATCGATTCAGATGTGGACATCTGTCCCAAATTCTAGCTCATGCCTGTTAGAGCTGGTACTGTAGCAATGATCCTGTGTTTCTATTTCACAGTGATAACTTGCCTTAAGACTGCAAAACTGCAAAATTTCATACTCACAGTTACTCTGTGGGAGATACGCATTTATCAAACGATAAATGTGAAGAAGATTGAGTGAAATACGCTGATAGTACATATGGAGATATTGAAAACTTCATTCTTTAGCCTTTATTTTTTCTAACAGATACTTTTGCAATTTCTGAACGCACAATATCATAATTACAGCGAGAGCATCACTCGCGCAAGCGTTTTTGCCCAAAATAAACTATTCTGCATTCCTTCCAGTAGCATTTGAAAACGTGCACATTGATTCTCTCGTCATGAAAGGCCACCTCGTGCTAACCGCCTTCCTTATTGAAATAGAGTGTTCATAACAGTGATGATGATATACCATAATACGTAAACAAGCAGTGACACTTTGTTATAGCGGCAAAACACCTGATTACACCTGTGTGTTTGTTTTGAAAAGCAGCGCTCAGCAATTTGTCTTCTCCCAAATGCATATAAATAGCGTTGATGTACTGGAGTGAAAACTTCTAGGCAACAATCGGATATGAGCTGCTGTGAAAGTGAGTCTGTTCAGACTTTAAGATGAAACCTGCAATTGTGTCTTTCCAATATAGAGATAGCATCTTCTTCTATCATAAACAACTATCTCATTCGAAATTGAATAAATGTTTTTTTTTTGCCAGAAGCCGAGTCCACTATCCTCCCGCTGTTTAAAGATTTCTGGAACAATTTTGAAGGGCAGCGCTATGATAAGGTCGGCTCGTTAAATATTAGAAGAATCGCTTCAAACAAAAAAATACGTTTGATGATGTACATTTTTACAGGCAATTGAATACTACCACCCAGATGGCGTTCATATCGAAATGGGCACCAAAGGAGTGTATGGAAAAGAAGGTATGAAAATTGCATTGAAATAATTGAACAAACTGATGTTTTTTCTAATTGCAGCTATCAGGCAAGAAATGGAGGAGTTCCATAGACGTTTTGGAAAAGCAACCACAGATGTAATTTTTACAATTTTTGTAATAATAGTTTATGATGGAAAACTATTTAGTTTACTGGAGAAAAGTATCAAATGTCAGACGATTACATTATCCTTAGTGGACATTACGAGACGAAAATGGAGAAGGGCGATGTGGTCAAAGGCGACTTCAATCAAATTTGGAAGAAAACCAATGGAAAGTATCTGATTTTACGTGACGAATATTCAAAGAATAACACATAAACGACCAGAATAAATTATGCTATGCTATGGTGTAAGTTTCATGCGTCCATGTGCAATCCGTGCATATTTTTAACCAAACTTTTCACCTTTGTAACGAATATGACTTCACTTGAAATGAGATTCTTAAACATTGTTCCCGGTCACCCTTAGGCTGACGGGGACGAGTTGCAGCGGCTGGCTATGTTTCACCTCTCCCTCCAAGTGCTCTCTAGCATGATTAATGGGCGGTCCTTCGGGACACATCGCTACAACTCGTCCTACTCAGCGCAAGAAGAGCCTAAGGTCTTTGTTTTTGACAATATCACGCTAAATGAAGTTTAAATTTGTGTTCAGCACACCGAAGCGATCCAAAATAGGGAGTAAACTCAAAGTACTCATGCGTGAATACTCGAGTGAAAGGAAATTGATGTCATTTTCTGTGCTTTCTTATATGAAATCACACTTTGTTCAAAGAGAAGACCTATGTTAAAAAATATTTCAGTTTAAGCGTTGGGTGCACTCGTGACCTACTACCAATTTAAATCTCATAAACATACGCCAAAGTACTACATTGATAGGCAGGCATCTCAATCACATTGTAATCTGTTTATAGTTCATTGAGATCATAGTTCGTCTACAATAATAATATAAAAGGGAAAGAAAAATGAAACGTGACCTACTCCACATTCAACAATATGGAGTGCTGTGCAAGTGAGTTTATCATCATCTGAATGCTTATTAAGATCAATATGATAGTGTGTGAAACTATCTAAGCAAAAAATTACGTTTCTTTCATCTCTGGCTTGAGAACTTCGTCTTACTTTTCTACATACTGTTATAGAGATAGAGGGAGCTTGAAAATTTAGTCTGTTACTTAGATTATCGCAAACCTAGGAGACATTTGAATACC